GCGCTGCGGCTCCCTCCTCCCCCCAGCAAGACGTACGTAGCACGCTGGGGAAAGGGGTGGGGTGGGGCAGGGCAGGAGCCGGGCTGCTGGCAGAGGCTGGCACGGAGCCGCAGCAGCCCGCAGCATCACGCTCTGACCCCACGGGGGGTGCGGAGGAGAGCGCGCCGGGGCCCCTTTCGACTGTGGGCCCGGCCCCATGGCATCGCCCCTGGTTTCAGGGAGTACAGGACCCGACCCCCTGGACTCTGCCCTGCGCTGTCTGGCCTGGGAGATTGGGGGGCAGCAGGGCCCGAGGGCCAGGCAGAGGCACCCCCAGCACCGTGACAAACCGATTCAGAGAGACAATGCAGGCCCTGCCTCTTTCCCTGCAGCCACAGGGCACCCGGCTGGAAGGGGGTGGTAACGGGCTCTGGGGCAAGGTGCTGCAGACACTGGGGAGCAGGAGATTGTGACTTTTCCTACAGCTCCAGACCTCCCAAGAAGGTACAGCCCACGGTAAGGCTGGTGTATACACCACCCATCTGGCCAGGTCTCCCTCGGCCATTTGGCTTCTTCTCCATCATGCTCCTCCATGCTCAGCTCAGGTTTTTTCTCACTGCCTTGGAGAGAGGAGGGAGCCGCTATCTGCCGGCACCTCCCCTCATGGGACAGGAACTCCTCCGTTTGCTCAGTCTTTCACGCCTGACTGGGTGGGGCTGACACAAACAGGCATCGCTGGACTGGCCCAGTCCTGAGGTTCCTGCAGCCGACACCCGTCACTGAGCCACAGACCCCAGGTGCGCCAGAGGCAGGTGTAAGAGCCCTGCAGTAGCAGCTCTGGGTTAATCTGCCCCAATCTCCCTCCCAAAGCTTGCACCCCTCACTCCTGCACCCCAAGCCCCTGCCTCAGCCCAGAACCTGCACCCCCTCCTGCACCCCAACCCCCTGCCCGGTGAAAGTGAGTGAGGTGGGGGAGAGTGAATGAGGAAGGGAGGGAGCGGGGAATGGAGTGAGTGGGGCGGGGCCTCGGGGAAGGGGCGGGATAGATACTGGGTTGATCTTAAATTCAAAGTGATCTTGTGCGTAAAAAGGTTGAAGACCACTGTAGACTACTTTTAGTTTATAAGCCCAACTCTCCTCTACAGCTATGAGACTTGGGTTACTATAGAAAACATCTGAAAAACCTGGAACGCTAGCACCAGCACTTTCTTGGGAAGATCCTCAACAAAGTGGGAGGATCATCGCACTAATGTCAGTGTCCTCCCAGAGGCCAACATCTTCAGTGTTGAGGCTGATTATCCAGCACTAACTGAGGTGGAGCGGGCACTGTGCACACATGCCTGATGTACGCTTACCAAAACAACGGCTGTACACCCAACTCACCAAAGGAGAAAGGAACTGGGGAGGCCAAAAGAAACACTTTAAAGACACTCTCAAGATAAACATCAAGAGATGTGGCATCGACACCACACACTGGGAGGCAGCAGCCCACGATACGGATAATGGCGAAGCTTTGTCAGAGAGGGAACGTCCATTTGTGAGGAAAATTGCCTTGCTCTGGTCACAGAAAAATGCCAGAAAAGAAAGGAAAGACAACAGTCACGCAGCAATCGCGGCCCAACTCTGTCATCCAACACCACCTGCAATGTCTGCCAACGAGCCTGTGGCTCAAAGATCGGACTTCTCAGTCACCAAAGGACTCATGAAAAATAAAACCTGTGAGACCATCCTTGACTCATAGACTTTAAGGTCAGAAGGGACCATTATGATCTTCTAGTCCAACCTCCTGCCCAACGCAGGCCACAGAATCTCACCCACCCACTTCTGTAACAAACCCCTGACCTATGCCTGAACTACTGAAGTCCTCAACTTGTGGTTTAAAGACTTCAAGGTGCAGAGAATCCTCCAGCAAGTGACCCGTGCCCCCACGCTGCAGAGAAAGGCGAAAAACTCCCAGGGCCTCTGCCAATCTGTCCTGGAGGAAAATTCCTTCTTCACCCCAAATATGGCAATCAGCTAAACCCTGAGCATGTGGGCAAGACTCACCAGCCAGACACCCAGGAAAGAATTCTCTGTAGTAATTCAGATCCCACCCCATCTAACATCCCATCACAGGCCATTGGGCATTTTTACCGCTAATAGTCAAAGATCAATTAATTGCCAAAATTAGGCTATCCCATCATACCATCCCCTCCATAAACTTATCAAGCTTAGTCTTGAAGCCAGATATGTCTTTTGCCCCCACTGCTTCCCTGGGGAGGCTGTTCCAGAACTTCACTCCTCTGACGGTTAGAAACCTTCGTCTAATTTCAGTCTAAACTTCCTAATGGCCAGTTTATATCCATTTGTTCTTGTGTCTACATTGGTACTGAGCTTAAATAATTCCTCTCCCTCCCTGGTATTTATCCCTCTGATATATTTATAGAGAACAATCATATCTCCCCTCAGCCTTCTTTTGGTTAGGCTAAACAAACCAAGCTCTTTGAGTCTCCTTTAATAAGGATCGATGGAAAACAGCCTGTCAAACTAAGCTGCTCTCTTTTTTGTTATGAGATTACAAGTTGGTTGATAAAGGTAACAGCGGTGACATAATATACTTTGACTTCTTTAAGGCATTTAACTTAGTGCCGCACATTTTAATTAAAAAACTAGAAAGGTATCAAATTAACATGGCACACAAGTGGATTAAAAGCTGTCTGATGGGTCTCAATATGTAATTGCGAAGGGGGAATTTTCATTGAGCGGGTGTGTTTCTACTGGTCCCGCAGGGATCAGTTCGCGGCTCTATGCTAGCTAATACTTTTATCCATGACTTGGAAGAAAACAAAATCATCACTGATAAAGTTTGCAGATGACACAGAAGTTGGGGAGAGACAAATAATGAAGAGGACAGGTCCCTAATACAGACTGATCTGGAGCGCTCGGGAAGCTGGGCATAAGAAAATATGCATTTTAATATAGTTAAATATAAATGTATACATCTGAGAACAAAACGTGCAAGCCATACTTACGGATGGGGGACTCTCCTGGGCAGCAGTGACTCTGGAAAAGATTTGGGGGTCATGGTGGATAATCATCTGAACATGAGGTCCCAGGGTGACACTGTGGCCAAAGGAGCTAATGTGATCCTGGGAGGCATAAACAAGGGAATCAAGTAGGGGTAGAGAGGTTGTTTTACCTCTGAGTTTGGCCCTGGTGCGACCGCTGCAGGAATCCTGTGTCCAGTGCTGGTGCTGACAATTCAAGAAGGATGTTGATAAGTTGGAGAGGGTTCAGAGAAGAGCCACAAGACTGATTAAAGGATTGGAAAACCAGCCTTATAGTAACAGACTCAAAGAGCTCAATCTATTTAGCTGAACCAGAGAAGGTTAAGGGATGACTTGATTACTGCCTGGTAAGTAGGTACACAGGGAACAAATATTTAATAATCAGCTCTTCAGTCTAGCAGACAAAGGCCTAACATGATCCAATGGCTAGAAGTTGAAACTAGACACGTTCAGACTGGAAATAAGGTGCACATTTTTAATGATGAGAGATCATTTTTAATGATTTTTAAATCAAGATCAGATTTCTTCTAAAAGCTCTGCTCTAGGAATTAGTTTGATGCAGGTCTCTGGCCAGTGCTTCACAGGAGATCAGACTACATGATCACAATGGTCCCTTCTGGCCTTGGAATCAGTGTATGCCCTCTACTAGTACCCACATTTTCAATATATACACAATACTGTGCGGGGTGTGTCTGGAGTGCCAGCTAAAGCTTAATCCCCTGGACTCTATCCCTCCCCGTCACCCCAAACACAATCGTGTATGTGTACTCAGTACCACAAGCCAAGCAGGGAGGCAGTGATATTGCAAAGGACAGGTGCCAACTGCTGCTGAAAGAAACCAAGGACAGGCCATGATCCCATGGGAGCAGAGTTACACACAGCAGGAGGAAAGCAAAGACTGGCTGGAGACAAACATGCTTAAGAGCTGACACAAAAAGAGCAGAAGCAGCTGAGACCTAGGCCAAAATGGAACTGAAGTGATGCCCAGGACCTCTGAACAGGAGTGAATTCTTGTCCCCTGTGAATCTAGCTACCTTGCTCTCCCCCTGCTCACATTCACTTTCTTCATCGAGACTTTCAGCAGCCACCTCCTTTGCATGGTCTGACTGTAACACAGCACTTTGTGACACACACACACTACACAAAACCCTGCAGTTAAACATAAGCCAAACTTCAACAGCATATTGTCACGGGTATGTGTTACAATTCACCCTGACGTCCTCTATCATAAGCCCTGGGCCTACAATTGGAGCCTGTATGCTCACAAGGTGTTCCATTGAAGTCAATGGGGCGCTGCTCAGGCATACGTGGCTGCAGGGTTTAGGCATTTGAGTGTAAGATATCTGGGGCAGGGATTTTGTCTGTAAAGCATTACGTGCAACTACTAACTAGCCTCCAATTCCATTCTGTGTTTAAGAGCCTAAACGATCAGACACTTATCCTGATGAAAAGTGCTATGCATGAGCTACGAGGTATTATCCACACTTTCTTGGCCTTAGTTGCACAACAGAGGTCAAAACGCCCTTCAAAATTAAGCTGGGTGTATTAGTGTTGAAAGGCTGCTGTCTACATCACAGGAGCCATAAGCGTGGATTGCCCGGTGCACTACAGTTTCATCAGTGGATCTAGTCTCATGGTATTAAAACTACTGAAATGTTGCTGTCTTAGGTTGCAGATTTTCCCCGGTGGTGGGGGAAGCCAGCTCACAGCAGCTTTGAGAAGTAGTAAGTGACACAGGCCACATGAGGGCAGTCTGAGGGGGATGCAAGAACTAAAAAAGGAAAAATGGTGACAAATGAAATAGATGTTTAAAAATCTTACTGTTTTAAATAATCCAAAGTGTAAAACTTATTCTGAACAATGATCTTCAGTCTAGAGTGTCCCTTATACACAGGGTTACACGTGCAAGGGCAGCAGATTTCAGAGTGTAAATACAGAAAAAAAAAATCAAACAGGAAGACAGATCAACTGTTCTTGTGAGACTCTGCCCAGTCCCAGACATGCAGGGAGCCATCACTTGCTGCTGATAACAACATTCTTGGTTTCCACGGATGCCAAGCATGTGTTGTAACCAGGGGAAAGTCACCGCCGTTGTCCATGCCACTGAAGATATGTCCTTTGTGACTAAACAGCGGCTCTGTTTCTCCACCAGACACAGGCCAGTTCCGTGTGTCATAGATGTGAACGGTCCCATTGAAGCCTTTGTTTAAAGAATAAAAAAAGAATGTCAGACTATAGAAATGGGCAACCGTTCGGCTTGGTCCAGGAGCCCTAACTTCCACTTGCCCTGCAGGACGAGCTCCACTCAGGAACACTACGCTCCAGTTCACACATTCCATCCGGGCAGGACAGGTGAGATTGAACAGACTACAGCCCTGGAGTCAGAGACCCCAGGTATTTATTCACCACTGTAAAGAATATAGTGCAGGCTCAGGTAACCCGAGAATTCATTCACCTATATTTATACCATCCCTGTTGAGACAAGACCTCATGCTCATGGTGTCCCAACAGGAACACTGCCTGGTATCCTAAATCTGTGTATATGTACATGGTTGGCACTGTTGAACAGGCAGCATTTACCAACAGCTTCCACACAGTTATCAGAGGGAATTTATGTTCTAACTAGAGGAGTCATAGGGCTGGTCTACACTGGGGGGTGGGGGGAGATCGATCCAAGATACGCAACTTCAGATATGCGATACGGCGGGTAGCAAAGACATACCCAAATACAATAGGGTGACAGCTATTGGCATATACTACAGCACAGAATCATAGAAATGTAGGGCTGGAAGGGGCTGTGACGTTGTGCAGTCTATATGGTTTTATAAAAACATGATAATAAGTGAATATAATGCAACTGGGATATGCTTCGTGCAAAAGGTCTCTTGTAAGGTATCATTACAAAGCTCATAATCTACTGAGTGTGATCATCCTATTTGTAGAAATGTACCACTCTTGTATCTAAAACTAGAAATATAAAACAACTCTGAGGGCCTATTGCAATTATGCAAAGTGTGGGCCATTAATGTTGGTTTGGAATCTTGATGACTCCCATTAACCAGGACCATTGTCTGCAGATGGCTGTGGTTACCTGTTAGTCTTCCTGTATGTGTGTGTGCTGGCAAGTGGATAATGAAGTCTTGCAGTGACATGCGATCATGTCACCTGAACTGGAATCCATCTTTAACCTGGTGCTTGTCCAGTGGAGGGGGTAGATGGGGGGGTGGAAACCCAGAGGGACAAAGGGTTCCCGCCTTATGCAAAAGATATATAAAGGGGTGGAAGAGAACAAAGGGAGCGAGGAGCCATCATGAAGAATCTCCTAGCTATCACCTGAGCTGGAACAAGAGTTGTACCGGGGAAAGAATTGTGCCCAGGCCTGGAAGGTGTCCAGTCTGAGAAAAACCTTACTGAAGCATCTCTGAGGGTGGATTATCTGTATTCAGTTTGATTAGGCATAGATTTGCGTATTTTATTTTATTTTGCTTGGTGATTTACTTTGTTCTGTCTGTTACTACTTGGAACCACTTAAATCCTACTGTCTGTATTTAATAAAATCACTTTTTATTTAGTAATTTACTCAGAGTATGTATTAATACCTGGGGGAGCAAACAACTGTGCATATCTCTCTATCAGTGTTATAGAGGGTGAACAATTTATGAGTTTGCCCTGCATAAGCTTTATGCAGGGTAAAACGTATTTATCTGGGTTTAGACCCCATTGAGAGTTGAGCATCTGAGTGCTAGAGACAAGCACACTACTGTGAGCTGTTTTCAGGTAAACTTGCAGCTTTGGGGCAAGTGATTCAGACCCTGGGTCTGTGTTGGAGCAGACGGGAGTGTCTGGCTCAGCAAGACAGGGTGCTGGAGTCCTGAGCTGGCAGGAAAAACAGGAGCAGAGGTAGTCTTTGCACATCGGGTGGCAGCTCCCAAGGGGGTTTCTGTGCTCCAACCCGTCACAGGGACCTCAATCAGTCATCTAATCCAGTCCCCAGCACTCAGGCAGAACTAAGTCCTAACTAGACCATCCCTGACAGGTGATTGTCCAACCTGCTCTTAAAAAACCTCCAATGACGGAGATTCCTCAACCTCCCTAAGCAATTTTTTTTGCAATGCTTAACTACTCTGACAAGTAGGAAGTTTTTTCCTAATGTCCCACCTAAACTGTCCTTGCTGCAATTTAAGCCCATTGCTTCTTGTCCTATCCTCAGAGGTTAAGAACAATTCTTCTCCCTCCTCCTTGTAACAACCATTTATGTATTTGAAAACTGTGCTGTCCCCCCTCAGTCTTCTCCAGACTAAACAAACCCAGTTTATTCAATCCTATTTACTTCAGACCATTTCTCCAGTTTGTTCACATCATTTTGAATTATCCTAGCCTCCAAAGCACTTGCAACCCAAGCCAGGGCTTGGTATCATCCGCAAACTAAATCATTGATGAAGATACTGAACAGAACCAGACTCAGGTCCAATGCCTATGATGACTACTACTACGAGACAGTATCTAAAGCTTTAGTAAAGTTAAGATATACCACAACTACAACTTCCCCTCCATCCACAAGGCTTGTTACCCTGCCAAAGAAAGCTATCAGGTTGGTTTGACATGATTTGTTCTTGACAAATCCAAGTTCACGGTTACCTATCACCTTATTACCTTCTAGGTGTTTGCAAATTGACTGCTGGATTAATTGCTCCATTCTCTTTGTGGGTACTGAAGTTAAGCTGACTGGTTTGTAACTCCCTGCTTGGTGAGTGCTGACTGATGCTACAGCAATGTGCAGGAGCAATCTGTGGACCCTGAGATGAATTCAGGTCAGCGTAGAGCATTGATGGAGCTGGGGAGGGATGGAGAAGAGGTCTTTATTATTTCACCTTGGGCCTGATTCTCAGTAACTGGAGACCCAACTTGCACTTATGCATTTGCTCAAGCAGTAACTGCACACACTAACCAGGGATCTACACGCACACCGGAGTTAAGCGCATGCACAAAAGCAGGTGCCGGCCTGGGGCTGCACTCCGAGCCAGTGCATGTGACTGTATTTGGAGGAAGCTGCACCCACTTGCCATCTTGTCCCAGGCTCTGTGCCAAACCCCACCCTGCTGTAACTCCACTGAAGTCTATGGGGTTACACCAGGGCTGAGTCTGGTCCATCACATTTTGTCGTCATTTTAGCTCTCTGGGAGATGAAACACACAGCTTATCTCCACGCTAAGCTAGGGATCCTAGGGATCGTGGTCCTAGGGATCAGCAGTCACATGATCTCCCTCCAAACTGACAAGCCATACTATAACACACAGCATCATGGGTACATAGATCGCCATGGGACCAGGCTTTCAGTGCAGACTCAGTCAGTTCTGAAAACACATGGCAAACAAATCCCCACCTCCCGAGAGTTACCTGAAACGGCGAGGCATCCGTCCAGAACAGGAGCCCAGGAGACGCACAGGAACTCCGCGCTTTGGCTGGCAGCAGAAACTTTGCACCTGGCTGATTTCAGAGGCTTTGGGATATTTCTCAAGTCTGTTAGTGTGAGCTGTCCTCCGGACGAGAGGCGGGCTATGGCGGGTGCATTCACATCAGAGCCCTGCAGACCAGAACTGACACCCATGCACCACTGCTCCCCACTGAGTGCCGAAGGAACGGATGTATCGCCCAGGGGACTCTGCGGCTGTCGAACATCCGCCAGACACAGCTGGCCCTTCACGCAGCAGGCCAGCAAAGTATTACAGTCCAGGAATTCCAGGCCGCTGACCTCATCGCTGATACTAGAGGCTAAGAGAGGAGGAAGAAAACCTCAGACTCCACAGGATGCTCAGCTACAACTGCTAGGTTCAGAAATTGCAGGGGTGACAAACAGATCAAACACAGGGTTAAACACACTCCTTTCTGTGGAAGCAGACTTGGAAGCTGCTTTAGAAAGAGGAAGGGTCAGTTTTCGGGCAGGGAGCTGGCGTATGCCCTAGGTCTACAACGGTACAGCCTCAAATGCTAAGGGCCACATTCTGCTCTTGCTGGGGGGAGTTGACCCCTGGGCAGAGGATGTGCGCAGGTGAATCTACTGCAACACAAGGGTAGTCCCAAACCCAAATCCCCCACTCATCAAACTGCATATGAGTAAGGCTACAAGACCTTCATGACACCGGGGAGCCCCGCAGCAGCCCAGTCTCCGTGGGCAGCAGGAGACCCTCCTACAGCTGACCAGCTGCCACGGAGGGGGAGGGGTGGGGTGAAGGGGAACAAACCCTGCAGCTCCCACCAGTGGGGACCCCTGAGCTGTCCAAGGGACCCCCTGCAGTTGCTCAGCTGCTGCAGCCAGCCAGCTAGCCCCTCCCCCCCGCGGCAGAGGGACCCCGGAGGTGCTTAGCTGACGCAGGTGGTGGTGCCCTCTTCCCCACCCCCACTCCCATCCCCAGCTCCCAGCCACTGGACAACAGGGTCCCTGCAGCTCCCGCCAGGGATATTTTTAGTAAAAGTCAGGGACAGGTCACGGCTTCTGTAAACTTTTGTTCATTGCCTGTGACCTGTCCCTGACTTTTACTAAAAATATCCATGACAAAACCATAGCCTTACACATGAGCCCCCAAGCTATATCTCGTCCTCACCACGAAGAGCTCCGCTACTGACAGAAAAGCAGCACGTTGGTATGGTATCACGGAGACACAAACGCACAACGCCAGCTACTTTTCACTATAGACGTGCACTTCCCAATGCCCCCTCAGTACAACCAGCCCCAGCTGCTGACATCTGAAAGCCACTGGGACTGGTAATACAAGTGTTGTCCCTCGGGTGTTGGATCTGTTGGGAGTGAAAACTTATTTAGGCTTGACAGAAGCCTGCTGTGGATTTTAAGAGACTGTTCTGATAGCGTTTAACACAGAAAGCATAAGGAGAACTGTGTATGTGTAGAAATTACAGAGTAATCCTGTTTGTGAGGACAAGATAAAGTAACTAAAAAGCTAGAAAAGACCAGTGTGAACTAACACTAACCCTGTACTGATGGGAGAGGAGAGTTAACTGTGGTGAGATTTTCCTGATGAGCTTCCCACTGGTGAGTAACTGAGCACTACTTGCTAAATGTTTTGCCTTAAAAGATATTATGTAGACCCATCTTCTGAGTAAGTGAATATCAGTCCAACAGGACTGGGAACCCTGATCCTGGAATGTGGAATTATCCAGGCTTTGGACAGAGTTAGGGTAACATTTACAGAAGGGGCTAAGATCCACTGACTTTCAATAAGATTTAAGTTCCTAAATCACTATGGCCCCTGTGCAGCAGAGTTCAAAAGTGCCAACAGACAGGTCATTCTAAGAGAACGTTGCACTGTGGGATTGCAGCTGGGGGACTGCTCATACTGGTACAGGAGTATGTTCATGCCGTCACTGTGCCAGCAGAATTTTACCAACTGAGAGCTTGTGTCACTCTGAAAGGGGGAATAACTATGCTGGAAGAAATGGAGGATTTTGTCAGTAGGAGGAAAAAATAAGTGTGGACATGCACCAGGCTGTGCTCAAAAAAGGGGAGTTTTGCTGGTACAATTTTCTAGCATAAACCACAGCCTAGGAGTCTCTGAAAACAGTCCGCTTGGTCTACAGCACAGGCTCACAAACCTGGGTTCATGGCATTGCAACCACCATCCGTTCTTCATGGCTAGGTAAGAGGAGGATGCCAAAGCTATGTTCTACTGCGACATGGGGTCACCGTGAAGAAAACTTTCTGTAAGTGCCTAAAGGACTCAGGTGCCTAAGTCTCATTGGGATTTAGGCGCTTTTGAAAATCTTCCCCTGAAAACCACTGGTTTAAAGAGTGTACTGCTTAGGTAGTCTATTGTGAAATCTCCCTCCACCCCCAGCCCCAGCTTTATAAAGGCAAACAAGACCAGGTTTCTCTTTAAATACCTGCTGTGTAGATGTTTTTCTTTGATTCAATCTCTGTAATTTGGACATTGTTGACTCTTGAGCCATGAAGGACACAGGGGGTTCTGGCCAAAGTGGTTGCAATTTTAGCCCAAGGTTTCTTGCTGTCATTTCCCGTAGGGATGGTACTTACAGATTTAACAACATCTATTTGAAAGAGATAAATAATGAGCTATAACAGGGCAAATACTGAATTAGTTACATTTTTGAACTGTTTTGTGAAGCTGTATTACAATTCAACCCACAATTGATATTTTAAATCCTCTTCCAAGGGCACAAATACCTTTCACAACACTTGGTAAAATGGTCTATTTAGAAATCTAGATAACCCAATTTAAAAGTGTTAAGCAGGTCGCTTGTTTTCAGCAAGTGACAGAATAAATAAAATAACTGCAATAAATACTTAGCACTTCTCTTTCATGGACTTCACAGTGCTTTACAAAGTGGGGGTCCCCATCTGACAGATGGGAAACTGAGGCACAGAGCAGTGATGTGATTTGCAAAGGGTCAGAGCGTAGAGCCCTTGTTCATACTGCTGAAAACTCCTGCTTAGGAGAGTGATGCCAATGAAGCGAATGGGACAACTCCTGTGAGCATCTGCTTGCAAACAAGACTAAGGGATTTACAATCCATCCCAAAGCGAGTCAAAGGCAGTAAGGAAACAGATCTGAGGTGTCCTAACTTCCAGTCTGACTGGGCTGGGCTCCCGCCCTAGTGACAGCAGAGCAGACACCAGTGGTTAAAAACATGACATTGTCCTTTCAGCTAAACATCTCCGAGGCCAGAGGCAGTGCAGGGGATTTGGCCATGTGACTAGTAACACTGAGTGAAGATCAACTAAATGCATCCACAGACACGTGCTGAAAATGGACTCCAGGACCTGTAACCTGCATGGTGTAGCAGAAGCTTCCCAACAATGGAAAGCTCAGATGGTGGGTCAGAGCCGGCGAACTGTGGCTCTCTACACAACAATTTCACATTGACATACAGGACAAAATTTCCAGGGACTAGTGATTTTGGGCGCTCAATCTGAGACACCTTAAAGAGGCCCAATTCTCAGAGATGCCGCTCACCCGCTCTTCCAGAGGGTCTCCGTTTGGGCTCCCGTAACACCCAGCCATTTTTGAGAGTTTAGGCCATAGAGCCTTTTTTGTCCTCCATAATTGCAGGGCACTTCAATAAGAAACGTTAACACTCTGCCCTTCTTTAGCACCTTCCATCCAGGAGCCTCCAAGTGCTCCACAACTAGGAGAGGATTAATTCACACGACCCCCCCCGCCTCCTGTGTAGTAGGGAAGCTCTAACCCTCTTGGGTAGCAAGGCTGAGCAAGTTGCCAATGGTACTTTATACGTCAACCGTGCTGCAGGAGGACTATGCAGAGAGGAGCTGGCGGCAGACTGTCTACCTACCAATTTAAACTTGTGTAACAGCTGCTCAGACATGCACTCACCAGTGTCCTCCGCTGCCAACTGCCACACCTGCAGGGAACTATCTGGCGGGCCACTTGTTACCAGCAAGCTGTGAAAACAAGGAAACCGGATGCAAGCTCTTCATTAATGGAAAGTGGCCTTTCCCCTCAGGACTGGTACATGCTGGTGTTGACAGGCATGTCTGTTCTCTCTATTTCCTCCCATTATGCCCAGGGTTCAGGCTCAGTTTCTCCCACCCTGCACCTGGGGCATTAAGCTACGCTATGGCCGCCTGCATTTGGGGACCTCGCAGGAGTCTGCCTGGTTCCCCCTGTAGTTAGAGCAGCCCCAGGGAGGCAAACACTGAGGAAGGGAGACTAGCAGAGGGATGTGTGCGCATGGGGTGGGGAATCTGCTGAAGAGGTGGCGTGAACTGGTAACAGAAGTTGGCTGTTTGCATGGCCCTCAAATGGCCATGAGAAAGTCCTTGCAGAGCCTCCAGTATTCTCCTTGGCAGGAACACTCCGGCCCAAGAGAGGTGAGATAAGGTATAGCAGACGGTGCCAGTTGCTCAGGTCCCAATGGCTCTCCAAGGACTTAACAGACACCAAGGGCTGCTTTGCCTTTTCATTCCTGCCCTGCTTTAATGTCAGCAATTGAGTCTCTGCCGCCAACACTAGACTGGGCAAAGCACTGGGAATATCCAGGGAATGATCTGTGGGAGCTTGGGGAGAGGAGAGGGAAAGGGGAGAGAGAGCCTCCCCAGGTCAGTGAAGGAGGCTGTTTGCAGGAGCTGCCTCCTAAAAATTCCACCACCAGGGCAGACCTTTCAGTGGTTTCCCACCAGGAGGGGGAGCTGCTAACACTGCCTCTTCTCTACAGCCGCTCCCTTTCTGCTGGCTCCTCTGATCTCCCCTCCCCTGCATGACACAGGACAGCAAGAGTAGAGCGGCCAGCTGCCCCAGGCACCCCACAACACAAGCTTGAGCACTTCTGTACTGGGGAGGCAGGGGAAGGAGATATCCCAGCGGGTGAGATACCTAAGGCACCTCTCCTGGGCGAGGCCATGTAGAAAACTCCCAGAGAGGGAGGACCGCCGGAGGAAGAGAAAGAGGTGGGCCAATGGAATGCACAGGGGACTATACACAGGAGCACATGGGGGAGGGGCCAGGAGAGGCATCACCACATCAGAAAGTGCGGGGGGGGGGGGGGGGGAAGAGATGGTGAATTGAGGCAACAGCAAGTGAGAGAAGAAATTGACCTGGCACTGAAGGGAGAAGGAAGAAGCCAGAGCCCTTTCCGCTAGGGGATTTTCACATACGTTCCTGTCTTACTGGACCTCCCTTGGCAGATAGCCTGGCTGAGTGTTTAGGGGGTGGGGAGGGCTCTTTAGAGCCCTTGTTACATTCATTTTGCTGGCCAGCTATGTTAAAAGCTGGCAAGTCTTGTGAGGTGGCTCAAACTGGACAGGGAATGGGGAGTTTTCATCGAACAAAACAAATCCAACACATCCATTCAACAGGAACCAGAAAGTCCCCATCTACATACCTAGTGTTTGGCACATGCCGCAGGCTGTACACAGGGCGGTCGGAAAATCCACCACGTTCCACCTTGAAATCTCTCTCGGGACACAAACCCTACAAACCAGAAGCAGACAGATGCTGTTCTTTAGCACATAATGCCGCTAAGTTCAACATTCCTTCACTCTTTCAAGGTAACTGGGCAGCAAGTCAAGGTCTGTAAGGGCTGAAGTCCTCAGGTACAGTTAATACTGTCAATTTATGCAGTGTTTTTTATCTGGGGGGATCCCAAAGCACTTTGAAAACAAACTGATATGCAGGGAGAGTTTCCGCACCCTGCTCTGGGGAGAAGCCAAGCACATGCCCATTGCACAGTTTGAGACAAGACACAAGGAACACTATATCCAATACAACGGCAGAGGATGACCAGAGCGGAGGTGTGGCCAAGCCCCAGGGTTTAACATTCCTGCTCCTGGAGTCATTGGAGGTTCCAAGGCATTTCTCACTAGCAGCCATGACTTTGGATTTACAACTCACCTAAAAGACAGGAACTCCAACAGCAGAGTTCCCTGTTCCCGCACGCTGGGGCACTGGCCAGTGGGGAGCATGCCACCCAGTAACAAAGCACCGTTTTCTGCAGCACTGGGAAGCTCGTCCATTTAAGTACTAACTTAGTCTGCTTCCACTTTGCCTGGGTGATCAGCGGAGACCACAGCACAAGATGGTACAGGAGGTACCAATACAAAAACGTTTGCAAGGGGGGTACTATGGTGTTTGTTATAAGTGCAGGGAGATGCCAAGGGTTCCTTCAGAAACCCAAGGGTGCGAATCTGAAACACTGCCAGATCACAAAAGTTTCTGTTCTGGGGGTGGGGATGAGAGTCAGTCAGAACTGAGCAGAGCTTCTCAAATGAAGACATAGGGAGCAAACTGGCAGTGTGGTCTGATGGACAGAGCACTGGATTGGAACTCAGGAGATGTGGATTCATTTCCCTACTTGCCACTTGCCTGCTGGGTAACCTGAGACCAGTGGCTTTGCTTCTCTGTGCCTCAGTTTCCCTCTCTGTAAAATGAAGACAATGAAACTGATGTCAGACGTAGAGTGCTTTGAGATCTACAGAGAAAAGTGCTAGAAGAGCTAGTGTTCTTATTCTGCATGAGGTTTTGCATGCAGGGAGTCTGCAGGATTGGGCACTTAGTGAGGTAGATGAGTTGAGTTCAAATATGACTGCAAACGGATTTAAACTAGCTGAGTAAAGAAAGTAACAAGCAAAGCAGCCCAGGAGTCTGCACGAACTAACTCCAGAGCAGCTGGTGTCCGCACATTCATCCACACTGCCCTGCGATAGGAACAACCTCCTAAAACTAAGGGTACGTCCAGACTACCCGCCAAATCGGCGGGTAGTAATCGATCTATCAGGGATCGTCTAGATGCAATATATCAATCCCCGAACCGCGCTCCCGTTGATTCCAGAACTCCACCAGGGCGAGTGGCAGTAGCGGAGTCGACAGGGGAGCCACGGCCGTCGATCCCGCGCCGTGAGGACCCGAGGTAAGTCGAAATAAGATACACAATTTCAGCTACGGAAATCCGTAGCTGAAGTCGACGCATCTTACATCGACACTCTCCCCCCCCCCCCCCCCGTGTAGACCTGCCCTAATTCACCAAGCCACTTCTCTCTCCTCATTCAATTCCTCCTGAAAACTTACCCCAGCCCTACGACAAGTCAGTCCACACTCACAACCACAATAGCATACTCAGATGGAAACGTCAAGATGCATCCATGCCTTCACTGAGTGATCTTAATGTATCTCTTGTTCTACCTTGTGTCAAGTATCAGGGGGTAGCCGTGTTAGTCTGTATCTACAAAAACAACAAGGAGTCTGGTGGCACCTTAAAGACTAACAGATTTATTTGGGCATAAGCTTTCGTGGGGAAAAAACCCAATTTCATCCCGAGAAGCGCGGGTTTTTCTCCTCAAAACTTATGACCCACACA